GTTGACATAATCAAAGGGGAGTAACCAGAATTTTTATAATATTACAAATTTTTAGAGTTGTCTTTCTTTCATAAGATTTCAAGGGAACAAGTCTGTCTTGAGTGAATTTCGTTAATGATTGATAATATTAAAGAAAATTTCATTTCAAAGTATGTATTTATTTCCTTAGACTTGTTTTTACTAGTATGTTCATTTCATCATTCATCAGACATAAATTAACCATGCATCGGACATTGTCCATTGCATGGATAATAATAGAAGTAACATTAATAGTACCAAACTGACAGCAAAATAATCAAATATAAACTCGACATATTTAGTGAAGGATATATGACAACTACAAGTGGGCTCTCTTTATTTCATCAAACTAGAAGATCTATAATAACCCCATAAACCAAGGCACAAGTTGCCATATTACTAGGCATTGCACTGCAAGGTCTAATATCTTAGGCCAAACAAAAAAATATGTGTGGTTCCGGTTACACTTCCAAAAAAATTAGGGTAGGTAGGTAGGGATTTTTTTAAATTTTTTTTTAACAAAATGATTTTCTTAATTTTTTCTAAATAATACCTATCACTGCTTTGCAAATGGCATTTAGATGTGGTGTGATAATATACTAGTCAATATTGGTAGGGGACACCTACATGCTAGCTTGCTTTGGATTTAACACTATTAATCACTTGCAATATGTTTTGCAAGGTGGCGGTCATTGTTGAAACTAAACTTAAACTGGAGCCATTGATGGAAATCGGGGGAAATTCCAGAAAAAATATGAAAATTGCCAAAAAAAAAGTTTAGGGTCGGGGGTATAAAATAGGGAAGGTCGGGTAACCGGAACCACGCATATTTTTTTATTTGGCCTTAGGTGATGTGATGCAACTAAAATCTCTCCACATTTGTGTATTGGTCTAATCAATCAAATTAAAATAGAGAGTTAATTTTTAAATGAAGCATAAAAATATTTTCATCCCACTAATCTAAAAGCATTTCAGGTACTTCAAAGACCCCACGATATTATTCTGGTTCAAAATACCATTTGTCCGATGCATGGTGAATATTGTCCTTTCCATGGTGAATTCTGGCTCATTCAAATATATTCATTTTTTAATTATATTTTCCCAATTAAAAGCAAAAAATTGTGTCACAATTCAATATTTTAATCACATAATACATTTTAAGCCCCACTTTGATTATATTCAGTAGGTAAGTGATATCGCTAGAACTTGTTGAAGTATGAGGATGTCCGATGCATGGTGAACTCACCCTATCTGTAGGGTGAAGTAACACAAAATCAACTGTATGGTGTCTATGTGGTATAATAATACTTAAATGGTATAAGGTGTATCTGTAGTTTGAATACTGGTAGCATTGAAACAATAGTATGGTAAATTAGTAGGAGGTGTCTGTAGTGTGGAATAACACTAAAACATTAGTACCAATGAATATCAGTACATAAGCACCAATACAACAAGAGGGTTTTATAATCAGAAGGATAGTACTAAAATTGTTGGATTCAAATTGTATGGTAATTTGAACCATTACTGGTCGGTATTTTACTTAAGGATTACAATCACCGATAAGGGATAGTAATATAATGACCAGATCATATTTCAGACTGTGTTTTTCTAGGTTCATTTTCTAGTTTTTAATGGAGTAGTAAATCTACTTCTCAATGAGTCTACCAGAACGAGAGTACACATTAAAGATGAGAATATTAGCCCTTTCACAATAACTGCAATACTTATACTCATCTGCAGGGCAAATTAATAATGTTTGGCAGATTTTTTTGACAGATAATTAAATGATGAATTTCAAACAATTGCTTTTACGTCATATTTCACAAAAACATATAATTTTGCCAGCTGCAATAGAGCAGTACCACAGTTATTGTGAAACAGTCTATTCTTAGCTAAAACCATGGAACTTTGCAGATTGTCTGTCTTCATAAAAACAGGAGCAGAAGCTACAATGCTCTGCTGAACAGAGATTAGTAATTGATATGTTAACCCTATATGAGCTTTCATCTCAATAAATTATTTATTTTTCTTTCATTTTGTTTTGTCATGATTTTTGGACTTTTTAATGACATAAATATGAAAAACCTGGGAGAAGAAAATTTTAGTTACCACTTCACTCACAGCAATGATCAGTACTTTGTATCCAAGATTTACGAGGGGTGATCAAAAAGTTCACGAACTAATTGAATAACTTCCATAAAAGAAATGAAATTAGGTTTTAGTGTTCATTATTTTTTAAAGTAGTCCTCTCCTATTTAAATGCACATCTGCCACAGTTCTGCCCATGCGCAAATCACGTGATACAGGCGGTCATGTGACATGCTCCGAAGCGTTCCGTTCACAGGATGTAAAAGATTTTTTCGAGTCTTATATTTCTTACCATGCAAGTTATTTTTTATAACAAGAACAGTCAACTTGTCAAAAATGGACAAATCTCGGCAATAGGTTGGGTGGATAAGGATATCCATTCCCGGAATGAGTATGGTGACCATCACAACCCGAGTTTTCCGTCTTGGGAGCGTCATTTATCCAATGTGGATATAAGGCATGGCGCCTTCTTTTTATCATATCTGATATGATTAAATTCTAAAGTAAACGATATCTTAGGGATTTAATAAATATATTATTGTTAAGATATTCAACTATTTTTCTAACTGTAACTTGGCGGTCTTTCATATCAAAATGCTCAACTGTGGACACATCTCTTCCCCAGCTTGCTTTCACTGGGCAAGAGAACAAACATCATTTTTAACCATCTCCCTTCTTTCACTAAAACAATCAATCCAATTAATGATTAAACTCCTAGCAAGTCTTTTGTCTTCATAAACTTTGTACAAAGTATTATATGCTATTGCAAAGGAATTTCCAAGATACACATTAAACTTTACAGCAGTTCGTTGCTCAAGTACGACTGAGTCAATCATTTTTTGTCACAAGTAACCTACCTAATGACGTCATTTTCACATTGTGACATCACAAACATGGATCAAAACATTACATAAAACTGCTATATATAGAACACATGTATGACTATATGTGTGCCAAATTTCATTCTGATCTGAATTGTGGTTTTGAAAATATAGAGATAGTTCGCGAACTTTTTGATCACCCCTCGTATTATGAGTGCAATGTAAAACAGAACAGGATGATATTAAACAAGAAGTCTGTGAGTCAATGCTCACTAGTAATTAGCTGCAGAACTGTAGCGTTATGGTTTTATTTTTAATCTTTGACTATTGTTGTAAAATTCACAAGAAGCAAGTTTATTGGTCTGTAGAGATGACTAGAAAGTGAAAGGAGATGGATAAAGTAACTATACAGGTTGGTTATAGAATATGTCTAGAATTAGGGAATGAAAGGTAGTTGATTGACCAATGCTGGAAAGTGGAGAAATACATCCCTAAAGAGTGCAGAAAATCTTGCGCCGTAAATTGCACAAATATTGCATTATGGGATCTGTAAAGTTATGGTCAAAGACTAAAATATAAAACCAGCTAACTAGTAATACCCTCGCTCTGATGTGAATATAAGGATAAACAGGAAGTTGACATCAGATTCATACAAAAATGAATCCCATCATGTGGCATGCCTAAAGAAAGAGTGTGCTAAAATTTCAAGCATCTGTGATGAGAAAACTGTGATGGAATTTTGGTATGGACATATGCACAGATAAACAAGAAGTTGATAGAAGGTTTCATACAAAAACTGCAATGAAAATTTGTTACTGACAGACAGATGAAGGTAAAACAGTATATCCCCCTCTCTCTTGGAGCAAGGGTATAATGATGTATTCTCTGAATAAAAATCCACCTCAGGTATAAAGTAACAGTTAAACTAAACTTTGGACACAGAGGGACAAACATGAAATTTTCCACTCAGGTTTTTTCTGAGTACATGTATCACCATATTGACAACCAATCACTGATGATAAAAGTAAAAGTCAAATGCTTTAAAGGATAAGGTGGATTGCAGTTATGTGCATGTTATGCAAACAAAGGTAGCACATCTATGTTTGGGATAAGTACATTTCTATAGTAATAACATTACCAATCCCTCACAAATTAGACACAGCTTCATTTTGAATTTAATCTCCAAGTAATCACTAAATATTAACAGTTTTAGAAGTACAGTATACCATAACAGTAAAACTACACAGACATTTCAGAGGGAAAATGACATGAATTGGATCAACTCTCTGTGAAAACAACAGAAAACTTAATTTAAGCAAAAGATAATAGTAGGCTCCCCTTAGCCATAAGTATTGTCCACTCTAACACAGAGTAAGAAAGATGCTTTAATATCATGAACATAAAAGCAGAAGACTGAAGACAGATACTCTTCCATTACATGGTTCTATGGACAGTCTTTCTACAAAATTCAACATTGACAATGTTGACCATGCATGGGGATTGCTGACATTCTTAAAAGCTGTAAAAGTTGCTTGCAATAAGTAATTAACACTACCTGTATTGGTACATTGGTTGATTTAAAATTTAAAAATGAAAATGAACCTTTTATATTGAATTTTGGTCAATACTTTGTACAGTTTTTGATTAGCAATGTATAATATTTTCACATAAATTCCAGTATTTTCAGACAGGATTGTCCCTAAGATTCAGGAACCAGGGAATTTCCCTACCTATAACGGTGTTATCCCCGGTTACTCTGGTATTCCACCTCAACTCACTGTTAAGGTAAAAACCTCAGACCCCCTCTTCTTTTTAATGCCCCCTGCTATATCAATTCTTAGGGACAACCCTGTTTAGCGCTCCTGGACAGTATTTGGCTCTAAAAATTATCACACGTTTGATCAGTGAAAAGCCAGTTTTAGGCCACACAGTAGTTTTATATCAAACCCAAAATTTAAAAAACACTAAATGACTCCACTAATGGTACACACTGAAGCCTTTAATTCTGCTGGCTTTCAGCTGACCTAAGGTTAGTTTTAATAGTTCTGGATACTGTTAGTATAGCAGTCTTACCTCTCCTCTCTCTCAATGATTCTGAGGGCCGTTACAATCAGAGTAGGCTCCCTTCTCACTGACATTAACGTTCTCTGTATAATTACCCATAGCTGTTTACCAAGCTGATCTGACAACTTTATCACATCTCGGAAATATTTTTCCAAAGTCTGCCAAAAAAACAGAAGATAAAAAGGTAAAATAGTGTTTCTGAAAGATCAGTTTTAATTGACATCAAAACATGTATAATAAACATTATATTATGTGAGTATTTAACAACACTTTGCTTAAAAAATTGATCCAAAAGCATTAAAATCCTAGCACAAGAAAGCTTGAGAAATAGAGAGCTGACCAGAAGCAAGGGCCACATGAGGGTCTCGTACATCAATGAGGTGGGGTATGACTGAAAAAACTCAACTAGAACTGTTCAGAATGAACAAATACCCCCTCCCCAAACTTTTTTTTTTAATTTTTAGAAAAGGTACAAAGTCATTAAAAGTATTTTATAGAGTGTGTTCAAAGTGTTAATATTGACAGTCAAAATTCAACTGCTCATTATATTTTTTTATGAATGATGAACTATGCCACAGCCTAATAAAACATCAAAATACTAATCATTATATTGTTTTTTTTAATTAGATTGTAAAACTAAATTGCAATCATCTGCCATAATAGTGTGGCATCATGCTCAGCAATTTGTGTGTTGAGATTTAAAAAAAATAAATAAAAATATTATATGATATGATTTTATATTAATTTTGACATCATCATACCAAATTAATTTTGAAAACAAAAGGTTGGCATCAAGAACTATGTATTTCAATTTGACAGATGCTAGCAATTGCAACAAAGAGACCAGATCTTCAATTCTAGCTTCTGTCTAATTCCTGGTAGATATGGATAACACCTGCTTAAGGTTTTACCAAAGGTCAACATGCCCAAAAATTTATTTTTACAACAGCTCCAAAACTATGTGAGGCATAAAGTTATAACTTTTACAGTTTCTAAATATATCATTGATTTACAGACAGAAAGTATCACTTAAAAACAAATATTTAAAAAAAATATATTTTTTGAGAAAAAACAATTTCAAAAAAATTGCGTATTTTAAAAAAATGCACCTGCTTAATTCTATACTTTTAGTGAAAACCATCATTGAAGAAATAATATATGTTTATCAATGAAGGGCAAGTTGGACGTGAATGGTCTCTGAAATGCTATTATTGAAAGCATGACATGTATAAAGACAAGTACCCTATAAAATCCGTCATTTGCAATGTACTTTCGGTTTCAAATCTTAATATTTGGACAGAATAAACAGGGAAAACAACTTTCCAGAGACTATCGAAGTCCAACTTGCCTTTCATTGATACACATATATTGTTTCTGCAATGATGGCTTTCACTAAAAGTACGGAATTAATTAGGTGTATTTTTTTTAAAATATATGCATTTTTTAAAAAGAATTTTTCTCGTTAAATACTTTCTTTAAGTATTTGTTATCAAGTGATACTTTCTATCTGTTAATCAATGATATATTCATAAACTGTAAAAGTTTTAACTTTATACCTCACATAGTTTTGGAGCTGTTGTAAAAATAAATTTTTGGGCATGTTGACCTTTGGTAAAACCTTAATCCAAGATGCTCTAAAGGAAATAATTAAGACATCCTTCTTACATAGAATTCATGAATAAATCTTTAACTAAACAGATGCAATTTGGCCAACTGAAATCCTGAGATAATTAATCCTAAGTGACAAACAGTGGATTTATACTATCTGCTGTGTAATGCACTACGGTAAATTTATTTCACTATAATGTTAAGAAACAAAGATTTTTAAAATTTATTATAAAGCATGAAAAAATTATGCTTATCATGAAATATGTCATGAAATAAAAGTGTATTTCCATTTTGATGCAATAGTTTTTAATAAGGTTATCCTTACATTTGTATGAAATACCTCCCTTTAAACTTAAAAGTTTTTTTTATCCTTGGTAATTTTAAGATTTCAAGATCTGGTTTTTAGCTGCAATTCACTAGCAATGCACAGACTGACAAAGTTTCTTGATTCTAAATCTCAAATCTAGACAAGCCCAGAAAGGGTCTTCACATATTTGGCCATATCATTTTAATTAACTTTAAATAAAGGTCCAGTGATTGGGAAGGCCGTGAAGATCAATGGAACTATGGCACAGATGTCAAAATTTTTAATGGGCCATTTTGAAAATGATTGGGCAATCTATATATTCTGAAGGGCCATTTCACGAAATAACAAAATTACAAACAAATATTAAATAGGAAAGAAAACATTTTTTTATTAACCAAATCTACACGTAATTTTTCATAATGCAGTGCAACACATTTAATGGAACCCACGTGCAATATAATTTACCCGTATTTTTTGATAAATAATATCAAAATTTGGATTGAGCATTGGAAATGTACCACTGTCATATAATAGTAAATAGTTTTTAATGGGTTTTAACCAATGAGATTTGTTGTATTAAAATGACTGCATATAAAACGAAAGTAAAACAAGTAAGAAAGTCATAAGCAAAATATTTCCTACTAACAGCGTTAAAAATTGAATGTGCAATGGTGTCACAATGGTTAATTTAATGTGCCAATTTTCATTTCAATGCGACTATGGTACGTGGCGCAAGATCTCCCCAATCACTTAAGGTAGGGTGTGACATACCTTTTACCAAGGATGCATACACTGACCAAGTTTGATGATTCTAAGTCAAATAATTTTCCAGCGATGAGCCTGACAGGGTTTTGCCATATTTGGCCATATCATGGTAATTAAAGGTTACAGTGATCTAACTTTTATGTGCGGCACACCCAAGATGTTTAATAATTCTAGGTCATAGTATTTAAGTTATAATTATAAAATCTAAAACAATATGACAAAGTCCACTCAACAGTAAAATGAAGAAGACTTGTCCAATCATGAAGAAAATACCAAGTTCACATCTTATATAGTGAATAAAGTATGTATACATTTAAATTTTCAGACAAATCTATGCAGTAGTTTCAAAGAACATGTCCGGACAAAATCATGTCTATATGGACAGACAGCCAGGCAGACTGACATGTTGATGACAATATGCTTCCCCTAAACTTCATTTGCAGGGGATATAATAATGAAGGAGGAGGGGGGGGGAGAAGTTTGTACAAGAAATTATCTTGCCCTGTCATTTCTTCATGAATTATCTGCAATTATAAATCTACCCAAATTCCAAGCTCTCATCTAGAAACTTGCTTTAAATTAAAATATGTCTCATTAATACCTGCTGAAACAACATCCATGTACTAAATTTTGACATTTTACAATAAACAAGGGGAAAATAATGAGGAAATTTGTGGACAGACAGCTGACAGAGTGATTACTATAGGGCTCCTATAAATTCTTTCAGGGCCTGAACAGGACACAAGCATGAGGAAATTAATAGCAGCAAAAGCAAATATGGAAGAATGTTATCCTAGTTAATGCCAAAAACACTTACATCATCAACATCTATGTCTGAAGGACTCTCTGGTTGCTGTACAATACACTTAAATCAGTAGGACTGTTTGTATCATACAATATTATAATACTACTATTATCTGTGTGATTCAGATGTCAATAAAAAGTTTGAATATTGTCTGAATGGCTGTATGTACAACATGATAATAATATAATGGGTAATGCACTCTGTATGACTGAGTAAACAGCTTGTCTACACTTAGTTTGTTGTTTCACATATTATATTAATGTCTGACTGTATCACAAACTTACAAAAGTGTCTGTATTTGAGACTTTGGAGTGACTGCTTTTATTACATATACTAAATACACTACAATTATTGACTTATGATGAGGTCTACATGTGAGAAAATGGACCTGGTGAGATATTGCTTGACTGAGTCCAAAGGCCTGACCAATATCTGACCAGGTTGTATAGTCGCAAGTAGGCTGAATTCAAAAGTCAATAACCATTTTAATACTAAATAATCAGGAATTTTACAACATTTTTGACACTTTTTTTTTGTTAGTGTCTGTATTTGTATTATTATTTGTAAAACACACACTTACATTATTGTCCGTGGGGCATTTTTTTTTTTGTTTTTTTGTTAGTGTCTGTATTTGTATTATTATTTGTAAAACAAAAGCTTACATTATTGTCTGTGGGGCTTTGCTGTGGTTGTTTGTACAATTCAAACATAAGATCATCTCTAGACTGCTCCAAGTCTGTCAGACTGCAAAGATATCTCTTTTTTCTTAGTGAAAATGCAAATCTGATGATATTCAATGCATCTTTTGATTTCTCATAATCATTCAAGAAATCATTAAGTATAAGATTATCTGATTATCAAATTATAAATTATCTTTGAGATGAAGAATAAAGATTTTGATGAACAACTGTAAATTATGAACATGGCAAATAAGTATAGACCAAATCCCTCTTTGTTAAGTACTAGACTCACTGCTTGTGGGCCTGAAGTAGTTTGCCTTCATTAATGAGCTCCTCTGTTTTTCTAACAATTTCTGGTGCAGTAAATATGTGCTTCAGATTCTCCATGGCTGATGCAAGCTGCAATGAATTCCAAGTTAAAATGTTTTGAATATTTACCCCCTTGGTTTTAATAGACTGTTTCACGATAATTGCAGTACTGCTCTTTTGCAGGGCAAAATGACATAGTTGGTGAACTATGATGTAAAAGTCATTGTTTAATATACGTCATTTAATTATCTGTCAACAAAAACTTCACCAAACGTTATTATTTTGCCGTACAAAAGAGTAGTGCCACAGTTATCATGAAAGGGCTAATATAGCATCCTCTGCTGCAATTTATGCATCAGAATCTAAATACATTACTTATGAAGATAGCACATTACATCTCACATTAATGTCCATAATTTACATTCTTAGTAATCCAGACTGAGCTTTACTGACCTGGCAGTATCTAGTGTTTTCCTTTTTGAGCTCCATTAGTTTTATGTGGAGAGGGGAGATCGATTTGTAAGCCTCTTCCACCTCATCAAGTCTGTTAAGTTATAACATACATAATAATCAAAGTATTTTAATACCGGTAGTGGTATACCATGAAAATATAATTAAATAAACAAATTTGTAACTCCTAATCACATAAAAAAATACCTTTGCTGAAATCAAAGACAAAAATTGATAGTATAATTAAAATCAAATAAGAAATGCATGATGTTGCTAAAAAAAAAAATCCCAGAAAATGCAATCATTTCACACCTTAATCTTTTACCATATTTTGTAGATACAGTTGAACTTTGGTACCTCGAACACCAATATCTCAAATACCATGGATATGTTGAAGTGATTTAGAAGTAGTCCCAACCACTTATTTTTAAAATATTTTACCATCAATATCTTGAATCCTCAGATATCTCAAAGTTTTTTTCTCGGTCCCATCAAGTTCAAGATAAGGAGGTTGGACTGCATTTGTTTATATTTATTCCAATTTGGAAGAATTTTTTTTTAGGAAAGATTGCAATCAATTTTTACATAATATTGATATGATATTTTATAAATCACAAATAAAAATTAGTATATATATTTGAGTTCTGAACAGAAGACTACAACTACCTCACCTCTGTTTAATCTCGTAAACATCCTGGAGAGCACTCTGTAACTGATTAAGTCCAGTTCTGACTCCATCAAGTTGGGACTGTACAGCAGTTTTCAACATGGTGTCCACAGATGCCTGCAAATGAACAAGCAATTTCAATATTTTCATTTTTAAAATCATGTAAATCTTATTTTGTAGCACAGATTTCAGTCTAGTATGAAAATAAATGCATTTAAAGGGGGATAACTCTTATCAAAGATAGAAAAAAAATACACATTATTATTTAAAATATTCCTGTAATCAAACATTGAACTTTTCTTCCAAGACCTTCTTTTTATGTTACCTTCAGCTAAATCAAAATTAGAAACCATAAATTAATCATTGATATATTTTTAAATTCTTTACAAATTACGAAGCTACCTTTTTGCGAGAAATCCGTCTCTTGTACTGGTCCACCCTTTCCAGCTGCTCTGGTCTCTGTAAGTTAGCAAGAAAAGAAACGAGCTTGTCAAATAGTCCTGAACATGTGCTTTATTTCAATTTCATAAGAATTTCAATATACATGTATATTAGATTTTATTATGCATTGTTTGCTAAACCTGCTGCAAACTTGAATCTTTGTCTGACTACTAAAAAATACACTTCTGCAGAATAGCAATATAAGAGATATATAAATATAAAACCAAAAAAAAAGACTTGTATGCCCACTGTTTAAGAGATTGATCCCTCAGAAGTTTCTTAACTTCTTGGGGATCAATTTAACAACCCATAGGGTTGCAGAAAAACTTGCTTGCAGCCAAAAGTTATTCCTTTTAAATACTTTGATGCAGGATTTATGATATTTATGGCCAAAATAAAAAAAATTAAATTTTTGGCACTGTAAATTTATATTCCATTTGGGATATCATATCCTAAACAGGTTATCATATATCCCATTTGGTCGATTGTTCTCAACCTGTTAAAAATAACTTCAGTTTTATGATTTGAAATTGCATGAATATTTCACATTATCTGAAGTACTGAATTTAACATGTTTACCTGCAACAAATTAGCTATGTGTTTTTTGGCGGTTTCTTTTGCCTCCATTTCCATTCTCCCAAGATCTAGTGGAGCTGGGGGACTTAGTGTAGATTCTGCAGCCATTTTTGTTAATAACCGAAAAAATTCTCCTTTGAATCTTGTATCTGAAAATTCAGTTTCTATTTTTAATAAGCAATAGCTGATAAATTCTACCATTTAATTTACTTTTAAAAAGACCTTTACTATCTTAATTGAATCAATGTGGGCGTGGACAAACAACAGAGATATTTCGAGCTAAATATACGTACGAACAAAACGCTTCGAAGAAAATCAATTGCTTCCTGTGCGACAATTACAAAGAAACAAAAGTTATCAATATTTTCTTGGTTTCTTTGCGTTAAGCATTGTCCATGTTTATCTTAATATTTGATTTCAGATTTGTTTACATCATTTCGACACTTCCGTTGTTCCCCCACTACTCTCGTGACCTCTCGCGTAGGCTCTCACGTGATTACGTGTTATGCCAAGTAACGTAGGGTAACGTCACACCGAAGAGCGTGCATATCACGACATGTTGAGACGTCCATTTTAGACAAAGAATGTACACTGTTTTTGTGACGTTTTTACAGATTTTATAACCAGGAGTTCCAGAACAGAAGTAAACGTGTATGTATTAATAACGTAGTCATTCGTTATGCTTATATCGACGGTTAAATGCCCCAGTATTTTATCGGGGATTTGTAAATATCAACAGGAAGTAAAATCAATACCAAGACACTGATCATTAAATTCTCGGAATTTCAAACAAGCGTTTTGTAGAAAGGATTTAGCGGTTAAATTGACCTATTTAAAAAACATTTAACTAATTTTATTTATTTATATGCGTTACGTCATTCTTTCTACAAACACGTACTGTTTGAATCTTCATTCAGCTAAACATTAGGCCTATTATGATTATTCAGATCAAACTTCAAAATTTTGGTAAATTGTCACTAAATATAGTGATTGTATTTAACGACATTTAAATGTTTAAAGTGGATTGCACAAACATATTTCTTAATTTCAGTACAATACTCATACTGATTTTTTGACTGTTCATTGCACTTACTTTCAGAATATATTGAAACAAATGGCAGAGATGGAACCTTTCATAAAAACTGTTATATCTCCAAAAAGAGAACCAAAGATGTTACCGGTAAACTACTTTAATGTGTTATTATATTATCTTGGTTAATATTGTCTCCTGGATTTTTTTTAACTGTGTATAAGAATGCACAATAATTTTAATATATGACATGTATGTGCTTTAGTTAAATCCCTTTTTCACTACCCCCCCCCCCCCCCCCCCACTTTGGACTCTGTAAGTTGTAATTTCTGTATTTATATTGATGTTTTTTTTTAATTATCCTGTTACCCAAACACAAAAGTGGGATTACACATACATTGGTATGATTTCAAATTTACCAGTGATTTATTGTATTATGCTCAGGTGCTTAGTAGATTAAAGAAGAAAATAGTACATGAACATATCTTTTTTTTTTCTTCCAACTTGCCTTTTGTAGTAATTCAATGCAGCAAAATTTATTTATAAAAATGTTGCGATTTTTTAAAAGAGAGGAGGGTTAAGTATTAAGATTTTTTTGCACAAGTTTTTTCAGCTGAACATGATGTGATACTTGAAATTTCACTGCTAGATCATTATTATTTTTTCATTCAAAGAAATTATCTGATGAAAAGATACTTGATGTGTCTTGTGGGAATTTGAGAGGAAGGCTCCACAGAGAACTATTTACATGTCCAGGGATACACAGAGAGTGTATAGAGCTTGAAGATCAAACATTTGTCACTCCCAAAAAATTCATGTACATGGGAGAGAAAGCCAGATTAAAGGACTGGAAGAATGCAGTTAGGATTAATGGCATCCAAGTCAGGTAATATTATCAACGAATGCAATGCCTTGTTGTGGTCTGTAGTTGTGACCTTGAATTTTAGCTCTACTAGTCAAACACCAGAAGAGCATATGCAATGGTAAATGTGTTTGTCATCCTTCTCTCTGTTTGTTTGTCCGTCAAACAATTTTTTTTTTCAGTATTCTTGGATATCAATAGGATACAATTTTACTTTAAAGTTGTGAAGTAATTTTTATAAGTCATATTTGGAGTTTTAAAATTTGTTTCCTTCTGGTTCTTTTGTTTATTTAAATATGAAAAAAAGAAACTGAAATGCAAAGTCCATTGGTACAGTATCTGTTGAAAAAGATTTTAACATAAATAGATATTTAACAGGAAACATATAGATGCAGGACAGTTGACATTTTGGAATCATGAAAAGATGTGCACTGGAAGATGTCAGGCCAGAACGGCTACACGGCCTGATTCTGTAGTATACAACATCCCTCAACCCACCAGTTACCAAACCCCAGTAACCCTGCTCACCACAACAGCAGAAAACGGAACCATGAAAATACAGGTTTGTTACCATGGTTACCTCCATTGATAAAAAAGGGGTACCATAATTTTCGAAAGATATGACAATACCTTTTTTTCTTGGAGGTGCTAATCTCGTCCTATTTAATACTTATGATCTTTTTAATCTTTAATATTCTATGATGTAGTGTTGTAAAACACAGAAGTAACATAAAGTGGAAAAGAATTTTCCTGGAAAAAAATGAACCTCTATTCAAAGGTCTACTCTCTATAAAGGTCACTTTAAATGATTCCCGCAGGTGACTTCCCGCAGGATTGACTGTATTCATGATAAGCAGATGGTCCACGTCTGTAATTGGGATAACATTGTTACACATTACTTATCATTGCTGATATTAAACAGTCACACTCAGTTTGTGTACAGACTGTAAATACACTTGTTTAACTTAAGAGTAGTTGCTAAATATTTCAAGATTAAAAGATTTCAGTTAACAAAAATATATATATGTACGGTAGTCACTTGCATGATTGAGTAAAACCCTGGATAGAAAATGCATTTAATTTGGCACTGAATTCTTATTTTTGGATGTTGTTGGTCATATAACAGCACCTGGCCTTACTGACACTGTTAGCGCAGTATGATAAATTGTCAGCACAGGCAGATGCTGTTATGACATCCCAAAATAAGAATTCAGTGCTTATACATGTATTTACATTCTCTAATTTTCTCTCTTAATAAATGTTAATTTCATTCATTTTTATTTTTAAATTTAGCACCTTTCAGAACTGATGTGGTTAAGAGCTGTTATGACATGGAAAGTTAAATAAAGCAAAATGAATGAAATGGTTAAATTTGTCCACTTGCAATGAGAGCAAAAGGGGTGAAAATATTTTTCCCTTAACACAGTAATTTATTCAATATTAAAATAATTACAGTATCAATTTATCTTTAATATTAATATGTAGCTGTGTACAGATTTTCATCCCTTCCAACATGAAAAAAACATTCATGTATTTAGCATAGGAATCAGCAATTAAAAATGGTATTAGCTTTGCATGTCCTTTACACCAAATCGTCTTGTCTAAATTCGTCCTATTTACTGCATTGACATATCTATAGAAAATTACAATATATTCCTGTTCTTGTTGGTTGTTCATAAAAAAGATAAGATTTTAAAATGTTAATCAAATCATAGAGGATAAACTGTAGGCTTGTACACATGATATTGTAGAGTGTGGCTAGTGGTGAGAGAGTTCCATGGGATGAGGATATTTCAGAGGAACAAGAGGATATCAAACCGGATCTGGCTCAACTTCAACTCCAGATGATAGAGAATATGAACCAGGCTCAGAGAAAGATCCAGTCTACACTCAGCCTTAAGACTCCAGTCACCTATCCAGATATCCAGGGGGAAACCACTGATGAGGGTAAAAACAAACTTCTCTGAAATCCTATTGTCAAATATTGTAAACAACTTTGATGGAGAATGTGTTTTTGTTTTGTTTTGTTTTTTTTACTCTACAATACCATTGTGTAAAGTAATGTAGTTCAGATTAATTGCAGATGGTGATCAATTAGGTAATATTTAAGTTAAAATCCGTTTTTTAATGTTATACATTAATGTTCGTTTATTTATTTATTCATTTCCGTTTTGCTGTGTTTCCTTTTATGATCTATTCAGTAGAATTGTTACTTTATGAGGAGGATATTTATTGTTGCCATTTTCATACTATCTAAATTTATGCATTAAAGTAAAAAAAAAATTATCATTGAATCATTTTAAAGAAATGCTTTCAAATGTCTTTTTTAAAGATTTTTTTAGAAAAATTTAGGGGGAATTTTTGTGATAATTAGGACTGTAGCAAAACATAAATAGCCTTAATGGTGGAAAGTCCGGCAGTTTGTTGTTTTAGATGTTGTTCATTTATTAAGCAAGGATTTTATTGCAATATCTTATAACCATTTATCCATTGACTAATACTTCTTCTTCACACAGAGGATAGGACCCTCTGGAAGGGAATCGTGGAGTTGGGATTAGTTGATGAATTTTTCCGAGAAATTAAGGCATCTTTGGATGTCCTCAAAAACAGAATGGTCAGACGAATGGTTCCTCTAGAAGGTAGGAGATTCTGTAGAAAAGATTTTAAGAGATACCTGTCCACTATCATGCTTTCAGTGTGTTGATCATTCTTAAGATTTCTTTAACTGCTTTACATACATGTACCTCTTATTCTCCATGATAATAGTCTTTCCTTTTTATGTTGACTGAGATGAGCCATTAAAATAAAATCCTTTTACTGTAGAACCACATGTATTGAAGTTGTCTCTGAAATACACTCAACATTGATGTATTTAGCCAGCCTAACATTTATGATGTGAAAGTAACTTTAAATTTGATATTTTTTTTTTTCAGATACCAGAGTGATCTCCGTGATTGTGAAACAGCTGGGGCTGATGTCAAAAATGAAGTACAAACTAGAAGCTCACCAGATTGACATGGAAAAACAGAGAATTCGACTAGATAGAGAAATGGAGGGTAATATATGAAAGTTTACATCTCTTTTATTTCAGTTTATTGAATTTCAGTAAAGAAAAGTACATCTTTCTTAAAAGTAAATCATAACATGTTATGAATTTAGTTCTTGTGTTATTTTCTTATTTACATCAATAACAATAGTGTCATGATGCTTTCATCCAGATCCATGTTGACTCCTCTTGCTGACTTTGAGATTTGATGATATCACATTTGATGATATGTTTTGTGATTTAAGTTGATGCAGTATTACTTATTAGGTTTGTTACTGACTGTCTACAGAAATTTTTTGGAGTTGTTAAAATCTATAGAAGGTGAGGCTAACCTTACCCCACTATGAACTTTTACAATCTGACAAATTTCTGTAGACAGTAATTAGAAAATGTAATAAGTGTTTTGTTTTGTCCAGGACAAATTACAGTTAACAAAACATTAGGGTCAATTACAGTAAAAAGGATTATTATACCTCATTATAATTATTCTATACAATGCGTAATCTGATTGGTTCTAGATTATCACATGACAGGGCCGTAAAACTTCATATTTACCTGTCGTCGTCATGCTTTTCATCATATTCAACCTCTTCGGAGACCTAGTGCATTTTCCCTTAAAAGTTATCATTTGTTGAAAGGAAACTCCCAAGAGTAGTAGACATCACAATAGCCTGGTTTACGTCACAACATTGCTGATGGACTTCTGTGAATTGTTTCAGTAAAATTGAAAGTGAATTTGAGAGTGGTGCCAAATTTGAAAGTTAATGTTTATTTTTAAAGTTTTTGCTTGTTTCGGTATAATAAACAATTTATTGCATGAATGTTCAGGAAACATGAAGGGCAAAGCCCTCGGGGGATATGATTTTTCTTGGCTGCATGAATCCTCATATTTCCCTCATGATCATGCAATAAATGTATATTATCTTGTCTGTGCAAATCTCCTGTACTCATCATGTTGTTTACTGATTACATCACTGAAAATGGGGCACTGCTCTAAATTTAAATGCAGCATTGCCAAGTAGGTAATGACTTGAATATTTTGAATTCTTTTAAAAACCAAAAAAAACAGAAGGCTAGAATAAATTTTTCAGTACACAGATGACATATTGTTTTGATCTGCCTGCTGGCTGTCTAAATTTTGTTACTTGCGGTCCACAGAAATATGGACAATAGGCAGATGATAATCATCACCCAGTGACAGACATTCTAGTCAGAGGCAAAACAAACATTAAAGAGAGATGCAGCATGTAAAAGAAATACAGTTGAACTTTGATATTTTGAATACTGATATCTCAAATATCATGGATATATCGAAGTGAATTGGAATTCCCAACCACTTATTCTTTGAGTACAGTTGAACTTCAGTATCAGAAACACTGATATCTTGAATATTATGGATATGTTGAAGTGGTTTGGAAGTCCCAACCACTTATTCTTTAAAAATTTTCCCCTTGATATCTGGAATCATTGGATGTCTCGAAGTTTTTTCTCAGTCCCATCGAGTTAGAGATAAATAGGTTTGACTGTATTTAACCCTCTATATGATCAATGCTCAAATATCTCCAAGTTTTTTCTTGGTCCCATCAAGTTCAAGATTTATGATGTCTGACAAATAAAAACATAAATTCTCATCATTTTCACTCTGCATTTAAGTTGAGTTTTTTCTGCAGATTTGCAAAAGAAGGTTAGAGAGTATGAGCAGAAGAAAGAGGTACTGAAGCGTAAAAGTGAATGTTTCACACAGCTGTTGGATATGACAAACAAAGAGTCCTTGCCTGAGACCAAGAGGAGTAGGTGTGACGAGACAGCTTCACCTGTTCAACTCATTTTTGCCAATGCTGGTTCAGCGTCCAACTCTGATTTTGAAGAAGGATACAATGAAGATGAAAGCATATCCATGGAAAATTGTGACAACTCCACAGAAATGTGTGTGATGAAAAGTATCAATGGTGACAACAGCACACAAGTGAGAGTCATTAAAAATGTCACAAACAACGGAATGTGTATTGAATTTGAGAATGAAAGTCATGATGTAAATGAAGATGAGAATGACACTAGTGAAAGTGACAAGCATTCAAAGGTGCCCATCAAAGCTGATGTGAAGCAAGCAACTAAGCGTGATTCCAAAGCAGTGAAAGGTGGGGAACACGTGAGGAAAACTGCTCGTCCAAGAAGGAGCACTCAGAACAAAGAATACGTGTCTTCAGAAGCCATCTCTGATTGAGGCTGTGAAATCCATCACTTACATTTACCTTGTATGTTTAAATTCTGATACTTTTTGAAATGTTTCAATAAGCAAACTTTGCTGAATAATTCCATTTATGCAATATTATATACTTGTATATATAAAGTGTGTACAGTGTTCTTTTTACAAAATTATTCATATATCAAATGTAAACTCATAAATGAAATCATCGTTAGATCTCATGCTGTAGGATTTTTCTTTCTTTTCCATTTTTTCTTATTCCATATTTACTTGTTTATAAATTTATAAATCATGCTCAAATTTCTCTGTTGAGAAAATACTGCCTAGCAAAATTCAAGTGCAAGTAAATGGGTTAATAGTTCATGAAGTGTGTTATGAATTATTTTTACTTGATTAAAAAACATACTTTTTTCCTGTTATCATTGGCAAACATGTTCCTATGAGTGTTTGTCAGCAGTACTTTGATTGGTAAACTTTCATGCAAATTTTCTTGCAGGCTTTTTAATGTAAAACTTTTCATATACATTTTCTATTTACATGTACAAGTTTCTTATACATTCTGTGGAGATATGTGACTTGTGTTGATAATTTAACAGAAATCCATATTAAATGTTGAATAATTAAAATAATAGAATAGTATTTGTATGAATTTATGTATACACATGTATTATTACCTCAGGTAATGAAGAATATTTATAACTAGAGGTATTGCAATTTTTTTAATGTGCCCATTTGCAACTATGTAAATTGACCTTGAATTTGCCAATGACCTTTGTTTAAAAAAAAAGACATCCTATGATCTTAAGTAATATTTGAGTGAGTTATGGACCTCCAATGTTTCTCATTTTGAAAATTGTGGACTAGGCATGATTTTACACTTTTCTTCTTGGCAGTGGCCTTGAACTTGCCACAATGACCGTGGGTGAAGGTTAAGACATACTTTTAGCACTTGAATAATCTTTTGCTTGAAGTTTCAACTTCCAACAAAAATGTTAATTTTTTTTCTGCCAGTGACCTTGAACTTGCTGAAATGAACCTGGATCAAAGTCATGATACACCTTCAAGACATAAGTAATATTTGAAGTATGAACTTCCAGGTCACTTGCAAAAAGGTGTACTTTTATCCCCATCTATAACCCTCAAATGGATGCTAATTAGAAGTTGATACTTGGGTCAATATAGGGCTTACAGTTACATGTACTAGGTCACTTGCAAAAAAAGTGTACTTTTATCCCCATCTATAACCCTCAAATGGATGCTAATTAGAAGTTGATACTTGGGTCAATATAGGGCTTACAGTTACATGTACTAGGGAATTAGACATGCTCTAAAAACTTTACCCTGCTCCAAAAGCTTAAAGCTGATCATTCTTTGGCTGAAAATAAAGCATCTGAAATCTGACTGGTACATTGAAACATACTAGAAGCTTCGTCCATGCATCTCTGATCAATGTAGGGCATATAAGTATTTGGAAAGAAATCTACTCAAAAAGCTAACCTGGTAAGGGTATTACATAAGCTCCCCCAACTTTGTTGAGGTGAGTTAAAAATCAAGATATTAAAATCTAATTTTCTCAGCTTTTGAGAAAAGTTTGGCCAGAAACTCTAATATAAATATAACCAATTGCAAATTAATTTTTATAATATATTAAAGAAGCTAAAGCAAGTCTATACTTAGATTCTTCAGCTGCAGAATACAAGCTGGTGTTTGTGATTATGGATCACAAAGTCAGTGATTATTGATGTTGCCCATCACAGGCTCTTTTTTAAGCCATCGCGTGTATCGGATGATAATTCTGATCCAACCCTGATCGATTCCTAAACTTGAATTTGCCAGCAAAGGAATAAATGCTATGAAAATAGTAACATTCTTAATCATAAAAAAGTTCAGTCTTGCATTCCACCATATTTCAAGTTGAAGTCTACACCCTGCATTTCCTACAGATAATACAAAAATTGCTTCCGAACTTTTCAATTGAATGTATAGCAAAACCTTACAGTGCCTAGATATCGAAGATTTAAAACAAAGTCCTCTTATCTGTTCTTGTGCTTCTTCTTCTTTCAACTACAGTCCTGCTGGACACGTCATTACAGATGAAGTTAACATAATTGAAAATGAAGACCTAAATGCAATCATCTTAAAAGGTCCTAAATACAGAAGCCCCGATCTTTAAATGGGCAACAGAACTTCATTTCTATTATGAATTCTGTCGATGATTATACCAGACGCTGGGGTAAATATGAAAAGGAAGACCTTAACACTTTGTCAGAATGGATTAAGTGCTTTTAAAATACATGTACTTAGTATATTAAAGAATCGTATTAGATATTCAAAAGGATATATGCGAACATCTATCCTTCTGTTTTCACTAAATCGGAGGTGATAAAAGAATTAGAAAGACTAAATGAATAATATGATATGGTTCAAGCAGGTAAGGCTCATTATTATAACTGCATATTAGAAGAACTTAGTTGGTTTTGATTCTATATCTGGAAACTCAACTTATACTCACAGTTAACTTTCTAAGTTTGAAGTCCGAAATTCTTTAAAATCACATTTCAATCTTTAATACTTTTAACATTCAAGTTAACCATGGTGAGCTCAACCTACCTTATCTTGACTGGATTCCTAAGCTTCATTAAAATCCTTACAAAGATACTTGCCGAGCAACTGCTCTACCAAGCCTCTTTCTTTACTACTTACATAAATATTAACTGTTGTAAAGGAGAAACTTCAGACGCACTGTGCTACAGCGTATTCTAGAAGTGGTGTAAATCAGTTATGGATTCTTAAAAAAACCAAAGAACTTTCAGAAAATTTAAATACCCAATTTTTCAAAAGTTAGTAATATCAAAACGTACGATTTTTTTTTTTTACACTTTATACAACCTCATGATAAATTAAAAACGCTAAGTTTTTTGATATCATAGACAACTGCTTCTTAAATAAAAATGGAACCTAGAAATTTTCGTATCTTGTGATCGGTCATCAACAAAATCACTCTTATTCTACACACAAGTACTCTGAGGTTGATATTTAAAAGATGCTGAGTTCCTCCTTGACAACATTTATGTAGTCTTTGGAGACCAGGTCTTCCAACAAACTGTTGGAATTTCGATGGGAACTAGTTGTGCTCCTTTAGTAGCCGACCTGTTTTTATATTCCTATGAAGCAGAAATTATTCAAAAACTTCTACATTCAGATATATCGACAACGTTTATCAATTAACAATAGTTACTTCTATTCATATGTCGACTCGATATATCCAAGTTACTCGAAATAAAAGACACTACAGAGTCTGCCTTATCTGTTTCATATTTGGATGTTTTACTCATTATTATGTTCGATAAGGACCAAGTAACAACTAAATTCTATGACAAACGAGATGACTGCAGCTTTTCCATCGCCAACTTTCCTTACTTATGTAGTAATATTCCGCTATCACCTCCATATATTGTTTACGTCTCCCAAATTAATCAATACTCAAGAGCATGCTCTAAGTTCGATTAATGTTTAATCCAAGTCAGGCTATTGACAAATCCGAGTCAGGCTACTGACAGATAAGTTGACGTTACAGGGGTTTCAACAACCTCGTTTATAGTTAGCATTTCGTATATAATGACCTTGTTAGCAAATTTAACTTATCATTGGGTGGTATTTTGGCTGACTATTTTCATACCAATTGTTAGGCTTTTGTTTTTATACCAAATTTGACTGCGGAATGTTCCGTCTACCTAATAAATTCATAGGGCTCATGGCCGGTGTGACCGGTCAACAGGGGATGCTTACTCCTCCTAGGCACGTAATCCCACCTCTGGAATTTCGGGGGGGGGGGGGGGGGTCCGACTTTTATGCCCTGTTCATATATTTGTATTGTTTGTAGATTTTTTTCTAGGTCGATCACTGTTTGTTATCTTAACTTTTTCAATTGACTTAAACAATGTTTAATATTCAATTTTAAAAAATGCCAACAAAATAGGCTAGAAATAGGATTTATGAGGGACTGTTTCTTATAGTGAAAGGATATTAAGAAGAAAATTCTCAAATCTACAGATTGGTTTCATTCAATATGTTGGATCTTTGGCCCTAAATATTTTAAGTCACATAAATTTTCACTGTATTACAAGCGATAGAAATATTGAGTGTGGACTTCAATTGATATTTTTAGAACAAATTTTACACATTTTTTCTATAATACTTTGCCAAAAATTACAGGTATAAAAATTAATCTTGTTTTAAGCCTGAAATATGCATAGTTTGACCCATGTATCAAAATTCACATCAGTAGCCAAAACTTTTTTTTTTTCGAAAATACGCCATTACTTCTGAAAAAATTTCATCAAGGTTAAATGATTAATTTAACTGCAAAAAGGTCAAGTTCATTGTACTGATGCTTAGTTATATGCACTCTGGCCCCCAGATTTATTTCCAAATTTGAGTTATATGCTATATGAGTAGATTTCTAAAATATACTTTTCAAAATATCCTTGTTATAACTAGTGTCAGGTGTGACATTCCGTATCTTAAAGCATATTCTCCCTTTATGGTATTGGAGCCCGGCCATACTATTTAAAACGTATACTAATTTGTATTTTTGACCTAAGTTTGTTCTTTTAATCATGTGACCTGATCCACCTGACTTGCTGTGATGTGTATCAATTGCTGCAGAGTCTGGCTGTAACTTACGTTTGAATTTCTTTACTTTATAAGGTTATCTGTTTTCGTCCGTCGTCGCGCATTTTTTAGTCGTCTGTTAAGCAATAAAATGCTTTCTTTGGTTGTTAGTACGGGAATTAACGTCGGAGCTATTGCAGAAAAAATACATAACCCGCGTAAGCGGGTTATGTGATTTTTTTTCTGCAATAGCTCCGACGTTAATTCCCGTACTAACAAACAAAGACATTTTATTGTTTATATTTATATCTTTATATAAAAAAAACATTCAAAGTAAATTAAATATGTTAAATATTGTATTATAGATGTGTATGTCATTGTATGCATAATTGATGGAACAGCCGTTGCTTAAGAAATCTATGCTGGTGGCTTGCTTAGTGTTGCTTATGGACTGATTAACGGCAATGGATTTTATAAGAAATAAAGGAAATAATATTCAGTGGATGTAAATATTCATAACATAAACGTTTGAGCCTTTTCAGCTTGTTAAGATAAATCTCTTCCTTTTACGAGTCATATTCAGATTTAATGAGAATTTAACATTGTAGCAAACTGTTGACGAGTATTACATGTATGATGTTTTAGGAAATCACAAGCTATGCTAAGATAGAAATTGAGTAGATCGAGGTCAAAAGGATAGAAACAAAGGATTTAAACAAAAATTAAAGAGGATTGACAAAATGGAAT